CCAGGAGCCGCGCGAGTGCCAGCTAGGAGTGACCGGATTGTGCTACATCATTTGGCGCCGTCTGTGGGAAAAACGCTTCAAAAAGCCTTTCTCCAAACTTTTACGTTTCTTTACTCTCCTGAAACCCAACACTCATGGCTTCCTCCAGCAACATCGGACGAAGCACGAAAATGGATGACTCCAAAGAACAACCCCAGCTTCCTACTGTCTGCATTGGACAGTTTACCATCCCCCTCTCGGTGGACGGAATTCTCAGCTTGAGTGTGCCTCTTGCAGTGGCACCCGTCATCGCGCCACTCCCTGCTGCAGTCGGAACGATGTTCGTCGAACTTTCGGTCGTGCCCCCAGTGGCCAGCACAAACCAAATAGAGGACTTGACGTAGTGCATGCGGGCCATGCAGGCCCAAATGCAACAGTTCCAACAACTTCAGCTTTATCAACAACATGTGTTGCACCAGGTCTCCCAGTACCAGTATCAGCAGCAGTTTCCCCAGTTTCCTCAACCTCAGCTTCAGCAATCACAGCTTCCCCCTCGGCACCCGGTCTCGCAGCGAGCTGGGTCTTGCCGACAGGAGGAGCACCCGCCTCGCCGAGGAGAGTCCCCCCAGAACCCTCCAAGGAGCCAGGCCTCCACCCACGGCAGACAAGAAAGACCAGTCGCCCCGACCTCGCCACAAGCAGTCAGGTCGGGAGGACCTTAGCTCGGCAAGCCCACGTCACCTCGACCCTCAAGGCCCAGTACCCCATTCCTGGAAAACCGATTCGAAGCCCTAGCCGCAGGTTCCAAGTAAGAGCCCTCTATCCGAAGTCATCACCAGCGGCCCGAGCTATTTCCTGCACACACCATTCCTGACAGTACAAAGGCGAGCAGCACGAATGCCGAGCCCGCCAGAAAGCAGAGACGCCACCGCTAAGCTCGCCGGTCTGCTACCCGCGACCTACCCGAGCTCAGAGGCAAAGAAGAGGTAAGTTCGGGCGAGGTCAAAGTGCCCATTCTTTCAGTTCAATCCCCCCTATCTCCTGAGCTACTGGCAGTCCCATTGCCCAAAGATTTCAAGCTCCCCCCTCTTGATAAGTATGACGGGTCTTTCGACCCAAATGATCACATAGATGCCTTCCAGTCGCAGATGCACCTAGCAAGAGCAAGTGAGTCGTGCATGTGCGTGGCCTTCTCCACCACCTTCAGGGGAGTAGCCCACACATGGTACCGAAACCTGACGCCAAGATCAATAAGAAGTTGGGTGCAATTCGCGCAGGCTTTCACGTCCCACTTTGTTACCAGTAAGCGGTGCCCGCAGACTAAAGAGAGCCTCCTCAACATAGTGCAGAGAGAAGGAGAATCCATTCGGGGCTACGTTAAGCGGTTCAATGATGCTTGCTTGCAGATACCGTGCTTGGACCCCGCCGTGCGCCTTACAGCAGCTAAGAAAGGCGTGACGCACAAGGAGTTCAAATGGCACATGGTCGTCAACCAACCAGTGACCATAATTGAATTTCTTAAGCTCGCGGACAAGTTCATAGCCACTGAGGAGGAGATCAACCAAAAGGGTGAGAGTGCGCCCGAAAAGAGGAAGAGGGAAGGAGAGCCTTCCAGCCAAGGGGACAGCCGAAGGAAAAAAGATGCAGCTCGGGGGGAAAATCCAGGACAGTCGTTCCGAGCTCCTGTGGCGGACCGAACTGATTACACCCCACTGAATACGAAGCGAGCCGAAATCCTGATGGTGATCATGGACGCTCCGTATGTGAAGTGACCACCCCGTTTGAGGGGAAACCCCAATTAAAGAAATAAGAATCTATATTGTAGCTTTCACAAAGATCACGGTCATAGTACAGAAAACTGTAAAAATCTCCGCGACGAAATTGAAGAACTCATCCGTCGTGGATATTTAAGAAACTCCGTACAAAACAGCAGTAATAATAATAAAGCAAGTCGGCAAGGGGAGCACAGTAAGGACGCTCCTGAGTCCAGCAGCAGGCAGGCTGAGCATTCACAGAGGCAGCCTCCGGAAGAGAGGCCAGTCCGGGAACCTATCCAAGTTATAGTGGGAGGATT